CCTTCAGTAGGTGAATGGTTAAATAAATCGTGGTATATCCAGATAATGGAATATTATTTAGAGTTATGAAAACACATGGAGGAAATTTTAAATGCATATTACTATGTAAAAGACACCAACGTGAAAAGGCTACATACTGTATGATTTCAGCTATATGGCATTTTGGAAAAGGCAAAACTATGGAGACTATGATGGTTAATGTTCTATGTCAACTTGGTGGGGCCATGATTAAATACGATTTTGGGGTGTCTTTGAGGATGTGTCTGGATGAGATTAGCATTTGAATCAGTGGATTCAGTAGACTGCCCTACTAGGCTAATACGAAATTGGTATCTTCCAATACACTGAGGGACTGAATAGAACAAAATGCAGAGGGGGCACCTGGGTGGCTCAGTCGGTTAAATGTCTGCCTTCCACTTGGGTCATGATCTCGGGGTCCTGGGATCAAGCCCTGCATGGGGCTCCCTGCTCAGCTCAGCGGGGAGTCTGCTTCTCCCTCTCCCGCTGCCCCCCCGCCCTACTCCTGCTCCTTCTCTCTCTCTCTGAAATAAAATCTTTAAAAATAAATAAATAAAAAGAACCAAAATGTAGAGGAAGGGAGAATGTGTTCCCTGCAGCAATTATTGCTGTGGTGTTCTTATGGGGGATTTCTATGTCCCTCATTTCTTCCACATTTACTAGCTGGAATTGTTCTATAAGAAGGAGTTGTCCTTAGCCTTTGCCTGGAGGAAGCCTAGCAGCCAGCGCCTCAGAAGAGGCTTAAGACAGCACCGAATGAGGGGGAAAGGGAAATGCGGACCAGCTGCGCCCGCTGGGCTGTGCTGCCACCTACAACAAGCACATTAACATCAGCTTCCACAGGGAAATTCTCCTGCAGTGTCAACTGAGCTAAACAATGTCATATTTAGTGGTGGCTAATTCTTACTTAGCATCCTATTCCTATTTCCTCAGCCACACTTTTTTACTGCATCAAGCCATTTGGTTCTCTCCCCTTCCCATTACAATATATCCTCATGTAAAAAGTAGATCCCATAAAGGTTTCCTTTGGATCCTAAAAGAAGAAAAGAATGGGTTCCCCTGCTTAGCGCAAAAATTTTGTGCCAGGAAAACACACTTTTCTTTGTTCAAAGCACTTTGAAGCCTCCTGTTTTGACTTAACAGGACAAACTCAACAACTTAAAATGGATGATGTTCCAACCATTTTTGATTTTTGTACCCATTTAAAGTCTATGAAACTCAAGTCAAGGAATCTTTTGAAGAAAAACAACAATTGTACCCCAACAGGACCATCTAATTTAAAATCAAACGTTAGTAGTCAGCAAGTACTACTTGAACATAGTTATGCTTTTAGGAATCCTATGGAGGCAAAAAAGAGGATAATTAAACTGGAAAAAGAAATAGCAAGCTTAAGAAAGAAAATGAAAACTTGCTTACAAAACGCAGAGCAACTCGAAGATGGATCAAAGCCACTTGCTTGGTGAAGAATCTGGAAGCAAATAACATATTACCTAAAGGCACATCAGAACACATTTTACCAACTGCCTTAAGCAGTTTTCCTTTGGAAGATTTCAAGATTCTTGAACAAGATAAAACATTACCAATTCTATAAAACATTCCTTTAGGATTAGCCCACAAAGAACTTGATGCCCATCCTTCATTCTATTCAAACGTAAAGATATTTAAGGAAATTATGCCAAAATTGGGTATTTAATAAAGTTCTACTTGAAGTAACATTATTACTGTATAAATTATGAAGACTAGATTATAAAAAAAAATGGAAACTTTCTATGAAACTTAATATTTGAAAAAGAATGGAAGTGCCTTGCATGAGAATTATGTACTTAAAAATTTTGCTAGAAAATTGTATGTTTGCAAGGTGTTTTGCGTTTTTGTCTTTTAAAACTACTTTTAAAGAACTGTCCATGACAATATGTTTAAGTTCTATTAGAAGGAAATTTTTTTTTCATGTACCAATGTTGGGATAGGATGCTAAGTAAGAATTAGCCACCACTGGGCGCCTGGGTGGCTCAGTCGTTGGGCGTCTGCCTTCGGCTCAGGTCATGATCCCAGGGTCCTGGGATCGAGCCCCGCATCGGGCTCCCTGCTTGGCGGGAAGCCTGCTTCTCCCTCTCCCACTCCCCCTGCTTGTGTTCCTGCTCTCGCTATCTCTCTCTCTGTCAAATAAATAAATAAAATCTTAAAAAAAAAAAATTAGCCACCACTAAATATGACTTTAAAACTGCAAAAAAAAGGGCACCTAGGTGGCTCAGTCGTTAAGCGTCTGCCTTTGGCTCAGGTCATGATCCCAGAGTCCTGGGATCGAGCCCCGCATCGGGCTCCCTGCTCAGCAGGAAGCCTGCTTCTCCCTCTCCCACCCCCCCTGCTTGTGTTCCCTCTCTCACTGTGTCTCTCTCTGTCAAATAAAAAAATAAAATCTTAAAAAAAAAAGAGTTGTCCTTTCTACCTCATTTATTTATTTATTCATTATTTATATCAATATAGACTAGAGGATATTTATATTATTTTTTATTATTTGGATTTGTGATCTGAGAGCCAAAATCTCAACCCTGAAAATGGAGGGAAAGTCTGAATATTATCAGAATCTAAGTTAGGGTAACAGAAACCTACTTTGATGACTTAATCCAAAGGGTAGGAGGAAGACACAGACTTGGCAAAGCTGGAGAACTAGCCTGGAAAGGGGCAGGAACCCAAGGCAGTCCCGAAGTCAGGAAACCCGCAGGCAGTGGCCCCCAGAGAGGTCCTTGGCTGGTGGGGACCAGTCCTGCTGTTTTCAGCCTCTCCCTCACCCTGACCGGGATTCAAATCCAGTGGAAATGCCTGTCCCTTGACTGGAAGAGGAAGGGGGCTGATGATATTAATACCAAACTGCTTCCCTGAGAAAGAAAGGAAATGGATCTTAGGTAGCCAGAAACCACTCACCTTTCAATCCCTTGTAAATCAACCCTTCTTCATGCCGGGTCCTCAGAAGCAAAGGTTTAAGCCACGCCTCTCTCCCCCCAATCCCCTCCCGCATCCAGACCAGCAGCAATGCCAGTGGGTTGCTCCACTCAGCCACAGCCCTCCCTGCAACCCCACTCAAAGTAAGCTCAGGATCTCTGACGTCATCACAAGTTCTGGGGAAAACAACAACAACAAAAGTAACTCTTCATGCTTTGACGTGGTGTATTAGAAAGGGCAGTGACCCAGTGCCTGGGTCAACATTCTATTCCCTTGGCCTTGAGCATATGTCTTCACTTCTCTGGAAGGGGCTTTGCCACTTCCACTGTGAAGTGGGTATAATGCCCTTCATAATCTCTAAGGTCTCCTGAGAGGCTAAGAAGTCTGTAAGTAAGATTTTAGAGTCAAGTGCACTAGAGAAAGACCCATAATGAGGATCATGTCTATGAGAAAATGTTGAAGAAATGGGGCCTTCTAAGAAAGAGGCTGTAAAATAGAAAATTCGACGTATTGTATAGCATCATAGATTCTTAATGTTGGAGGAGACCTATCTTAGAGCCGTTTTCCAAAATCCTGATATGCTTGAGAATCGCTTGGGGATCTTTTAAAATGCGGACTGTGATTCAGTAGATGGGGTGGGGACAGCTTTGTACCAACCTTTGACAGCACATTGTGATCACTTGAGGGGCTTTAAGCAAATACTTAAGCCTGGGCTCCTCCCCCTCCAAACCCCGCCAAACGAGATTCTGATTCATTCGGCCCTGAAACTCCCAGGTGAGTCTAACAGGCCGCGAAGTCTGAGAACCCCGGCCTTAGGCCCGCGCTTCTCCAACTTTAGCGCGCATGATGAGCATCACCTGGAGGGCTTGTGAAAACACAGCTTGCGGGACCCCGCCCCCAGAGATCCTGACTCTGCAGGTCGGGGGTGATGGGGCCCCAGATTTTCACGTCTAACAGGTTCTCAGGTGATGCTGACTCTGCTGGTCCGTGGCCTTGGGGGTTATCTCATTTGACGCTGATGTTTCCCATGTGGGAAACCAAGAAGCAATGATACTACCAGATCTCCGCCAAGGAATAAGGAGAGGGAATTTTTTTTTTTTTTTAATGTTTATAACAGCTTTATTTCATAATAGCCAAAACAACCCAGATACCCTTCAATGGGTAAAAGATTAAATAAACTGTGATACATACATAGCATGAGTAACTACTAAGCAATAAAAAGAAAAGAATTTTTGCTGCATACAGTAATCTCAGTGAAACTCCAGAGACTTATGCTGAGTGAAAAAAGTCAATCCCAAAAGTTACATATTTTATGATCCCATTCATATAACACTCTTGAACTGACAAAACTACAGAAATGAAGAACACATTAACAGTTGCCTCCCGTCATTAAGTAGAGAGTTGTGGTGAGAAGAGGGTATGACTCTAACAGGGCATTAGGAGGGCGATTTCCTCAGCCAGTCCTTCCACCTTCCTCTCCTGCGTCCCCAGGTCCCCGCGGAGCCCCTCAACGCCAGCCCGAGCGGGTTCTCGGGGGCTACAGAGGGGCCGATCTCCGAGGAGGGGAAGGGCCTTGCGGAGCCGCGCGGACCTGGACGGGGCCCACGCGAAGCCCGGGAGGCTGGCCCCGCCGCTGCGGGAGACGCTGCGCGCGCGGGACTCTCACGCGCCGCTGGCCGTTCCTTAACTCTCCACTTTGTTGGTCAGAGGAGGAGGCCTACACCTGCGGGGAAAGGGTTGCCGAGGCAACCGGGGCCCTCCCTCCCCGGGCCCCTCCCGCACCCCGGCACTCTCGTGACCCGCCCCCTCCGGCGGGGCCCCCGCGCAGGAAAGGGATTGGTGCGCGGAGGGGCGTGTTCGGGTGCAGAGAAGGTAAAGGCGCCGCGCAGAGGGCGCGGGCTCGGGTTTCCACTGGCGGCGCTGGGATTCCGGGCTGCGCTGCTCCAGCTCCGGCTCGAGCTCCAGCTCCCGTTCCCGCGCCGCAGCGCAGGATCTCTGGGCGCCTCGGTCGGAAGGTCAGTGCGGCGCCGGCGGGACGTTACCCCGGCTGCTGTCCCCGGGAGCAGATCCCCCTTTCGGAGCGGAGGCCGACGTCGCGGGCCCACCTGACCCCGGCTGGCCCGATCGGTGTGGTCCTGGCGTGAGCGCCGTCTCCAGCGGTCGCCGCAGAGCTGGGAGGCGGGGGGCGCGGGGCCGGGGGCGCTGCTGGGGTCGACAGGGCGCGACACCCGGCCCCTTCCACTTTGCTGGGACACCCTCCGCCAAGGAATAAGGAGAGGCGCGGCCGTTCTCATAAAACCGGTTTATCCAGTCACCTCCCGGGGAGGATGGGACCCGACACCCTTTCCACCTAGAGCCGGCCTGACTCCCGGCGACTTCTTGGGTTCCCTCTCCCGGGCGTCCTCCTCCCGCTCTGCAGAGCCAGACCGCTGAGACCCTCTGTATCTCCAGCTTAGAGCTCTGGAGTTTTTTCTAGACTTTTTCTGTGTTTCCGATCATCACCACGGTAAGTCCGGATTCACCAGCTCGTTGGTGGAGTCTTTACATTAAGCAGTTTGCTAAGTGCTCTTCATAGATTGCTCTATTCATTGTTCTCAAGAATCTAGTGTGGCGGCCCTATCATTGTCCCCTAAGATTGAGGAAACTCGAGGTTTGGCAAAGTAGTGTACGCAGGCTCACGCGGCGAGAGAGTGGCGGCGTCCCGAACCCCCTCGGCTGGTCGGGTGCCCTCGCGGGGAGAGGCGGGAGGAACCGCGCTGGAAGCGGGTTGCGGGAAGAAGGGGAAGGGGCCCGCAGCGCGACCACCGGGATGCTTCCGGTTTGTCTTCTTGGGTACCTGATCGCATCTCTTGGAGGAGAAGTGTGGGGGTTGTGGAAGGACGGTTTGAGACTCAACGAATCGGATTTCCTATCCCCTCTTGGTGATTTATTCGCCTGACCTTGGGCAGGTCAGTTCACCCCGGAGAGAAGATCCCAGCTTCAGGGGTACGGTGAGGGTTAAGTAAGAGTTCAGGAAAGCAGGCGTTTCATCCGTGCTCTGATTTAGGAGGTGCCTGATTTTTCCTTGGGTCAGTTCTATTAAGAGTACACATTTATTATTATTTAATGGACCGGAAGATTTAAAGGAGGGACTGCCTTGCAAATGTGTTTTATAAGCCTTCTTGGTCCTTAAAGCAGACTAAGAGGTGGGAGAACCCGCGGGGGGGGGGGGGGGTACGGGAATGAAGGTGAGCATGGTCAGCAGCTCAGTGCCGGAGGGTTTGATGCCAGGAAATCGTCAACTAGGCAGATGGCACCTCCTTTGTGAAAAAAGTTTCACAGAGTGCAGGGTAGGAAGCCCCACTTTGAGGTGTAGGGAGTGAAGGTTGGGAGCAACCGACCACTCCTGGAGACCCCTGAGACTGGGAGAAAAGATGAACAAGAATAGGTTTCAGCAGGTTTATAAGGGTGGGGGGAGAACAGGTTGGGGAGTTAAGTGGGACAAGGGCTGGGGATTTTGAATGAGACTGGGGTTTAGTAGGCATCAGCTGAACTGTTACGTCTCTGGAGGCAGTATTGATCTCTATTGGGTGATTTTCTAGCTCCTCAGCAATATATGTATGTGCAGACCATTCAGTGGGGCTGGAGACTTTTTAAAAAAAAATGAATTTTAAATGTTTTATTTTAAATTGTAGTTGCAATCACATAATGTAAAATTTCCATGTTCACCACTTTTTTTTTTTTAAGATTTTATTTATTTATTTGAGAGAGAGACTGAGAGAGAGAGAGCATGAGAGGGGGGAGGGTCGGGAGGGTCAGAGGGAGAAGCAGACTCCCTGCCGAGCAGGGAGCCTGATGCGGGACTCGATCCCGGGACTCCAGGATCATGATCTGAGCCGATGACAGTCGCTTAACCAACTGAGCCACCCAGGAGCCCATGTTCACCACTTTTAAGTGTACCCTTCAGTAGTGTTTAAGTATGTTCACGTTACTGTGCAATAGATCTGTAGAACTTTTTCATCTTACAAATCTGAAACTATATGTCAATGAGTGAAACACTAATATTCCTTCCTTCTTATCCCCCACCTCTTGGCAACTACCTTTCTACTTCCTTTTTCTATGATTTTCGTTACTTGAGATACCTTGTATAATTCATAAGAGTGGAGTCATATGGTGTTTGGCCTTTGCTTACTGGCTTATTTCACTTGGCATAATGTTCTGGAGGCTTATCCATGTTGTCGCCTGTGGCAGGATCTCCTTCAAGGCTGAATAATATACTGTTGTGTGTATATAGCACATTTTGTTTAGCCATTTATCTGTCAGTGGCTGGGAACTTTTACTTTCATGCTTTAGTGCTGGAGATATTATTTATTTATTGCCTTCGTGACTAAGAATGATTAGAGCTGGAATTTGGGGAGATCACAAGACAGTGAGAACATTAAGGGAAATTGATGTTGCACCCTCTAGGAAAGGCCTATTTTGTTGGTCTTAAATATTTCAAATTGCAGTTTCTTTTAATATTCCTGAAACAGAATTATCAATCTTCGGAGCAATCACAGTTGAAATAAGTTTTTCACCTGAGAAACCAAAGTAATTTTTTCTGTGAACAGAGGCATTCTATTTTTTAATTTTATTTATTTTTTTCGTGGTGTAGGCAAACCCTTGATATTTCCTGTTTTCTCCTTCCTGTCTGTCTGTTCCACACCGTGTTTGGTTAGTACTGACATGCATCAGGTACTGCTAGGAATTGCTCATAAGAGCTCACAACCTCATGAGAGAGACAGCCATATTGTCTCCTGGCACCTAGGCCAACGTGTCCAGAACCGAACTCTGTCTTCTCATCTGACCTGCTTCCCCAGGGAGCCCATTCTTACAGCAGCACGCGTCCCCGTCATATCCATACAATGACCAAATCCACTTGAGCTCTGAGTCTTCCTCTCCATCAGCCCCACCCTCTTCATGACGTCACTGCTGTCTCAGCGTTCTGTGGTTCACGCAGAGAGGGTAAATGCCAGGAGATGGGAGAAGTGGTATAATAACCACCCTGGAGAGGCCTAGGTCAGGGAGGCACTCCATTATTTCTGGAGAAGAGTCTATTGACCTGTTTCTTTTTCATCCCTTTGCAGTTAAAGTAAACAAGGTGCTTGGGAGAGGAAGTCTGTGGACTGTAATCTAATCTTTAAAGAGGGACTGAGAATCTTTGATGATTTCCCTATATATAAATTTAATAACTAGGTTGGCAAAGCAAATTTTACTTTAGAACAGCTCTTCTCAAAGTATGATCTGGGGAATCCTGGGCTTCCCTGAGACATTTTGTAGGGTCCATGAGGTCAAACTATTTTAAAAATAAGACTAAGTTGTCATTTGCCATTTTCATTCTTTCTCTTATAAGTGTACAGTGGCTTTTTCCAGGGTCTCCGTGACTCGGGATGAACTTTTCCTCTGATGGTTAATGAAATGTGTGCTCGTGTATTCTAGCAGCTTGTGTTTCTAGAACCTTCTAAGGGTAAGCTTGGAGTATAAATAATGTGTTTTCAGAGATGAATTCAATTCTTAGTACTTCTATTGCACACTTACTAGCTATCTTTAGTTATACCTGTTATCATTTCTGTGACTTCATTTCCTTTTATAAGCCATCACTTTGAAATCCCTAAGTTTTCCTTGTGCCTGTATGGAAACAACAACAACAACAACAACAAAAAGTAAGTTATACTTCGTAGTCTTGATTTGAAAACTTTTCTAAATTTTTAAATGATATAAAATTATTCTAAAATGAAAAGATATTTATATATTTTTATATTTAAGGATAGATTTTTGGCTAAACAGGGGGAAACTAGAAAACTTGATTTTTCTACTCAGAGCTATACCATCCATGTTTATAAATGCTGAAAAAAATGAAATGATCTATTGGAGTTCCCTCAATAATGGAAGGGAGGAATTTACTTCAGAGAAGTGGACAGAACTAAATAAGACCTAAAAATGTGACAGATTTCATCAGTTTTACAGTGGCTAGAAATTTACATTATGTGTCTTATGCTGTAGAACCTTTTTGAGTAATATTACGGTGCCAGTAGCGTTCTGAGATCAACCATTCAGAGTCCTCTAAAGAAAAATGAATTGAGGGCGCCTGGGTGGCTCAGTTGGTTGGACGACTGCCTTCGGCTCAGGTCATGATCTCGGGGTCCTGGGATCGAGTCCCGCATCGGGCTCCCTGCTCTGCGGGGAGCCTGCTTCTCCCTCTCCCACTCCCCCTGCTTGTGTTCCCTCTCTCGCTGTGTCTCTCTCTGTCAAATAAATAAATAAATAAAATCTTTAAAAAAAAAAAAGAAAAGAAAAATGAATTGAATGACTTAAATGTAGATATGAGGAGCTCTTAAAAAGCCAAGAATGATTTGTTACAGCTTTCCAAACTAGCAATGAAAAAGCTGTTGAAGCATCTAGCAGGATAGGTTATCAAATTGCAGTGGCTGGAGAAACACAGTAAAACCTTGTTTGGATGAAAAAGCATGAAAGAAATCCTAGCACTGTCACTTCCTAATAATAGAGAAAGTTGTCAAATTAAAAATTTAGCTGCAAACATGAAGACTAAGTTAGTGTCTTTTTTTTTTTTAAGATTTCATTTATTTATTTGTCAGCTGAACTGGCCACTTTTTTTTTTCCCATAAAAAATCATTTTTGCTTCAAGGAATGAATGAAAAACTAGGGTTATTCATACTTGGATGATTGGAATACATTTTCTTTTTTTTTTTTTTTTTAAGATTTTATTTATTTATTTGACAGAGACAGAGACAGCGAGAGAGGGAACACAAGCAGGGGGAGTGGGAGAGGGAGAAGCAGGCTTCCCGCAGAGCAAGGAGCCCGATCCGGGGCTCGATCCCAGGACGCTGGGATCATGACCCGAGCCGAAGGCAGACGCTTAACAACTGAGCCACCCAGGTGCCCCTGGAATACATTTTCTAAAAAATGAACCAAGTGAGTTTGTCATTTCAAGGAAACAACTAATGGCATTGTTGCCAATTAACTTGTCTCTACCACTGTGAGTTTGAGAGCTTCTTAGTATTTAGAAACTTTCCGAAGAGATCAGTATGACCTCTTGATATTCTCTAGTGAGGTGTGTTAACATCTGGAAGCCCTGCATAACTTGCTGAACCAACATTTTCCAAAAGACCAGTGCATGAAATTACAAAATCATTCAGGGGTAAAAGATCCATTCAAAGCACTAGATAGACCAGTGGGTTTTAAGGTACAGAATCCAAAAGGTTCATTGATAATGGCTTCAGATTCTACCTTGCAACTAACCTTTAAGAAACTACCATGTGGGGTGCCTGGGTGGCTCAGTCAGTTAAGCATCTGCCTTTGGCTCAGGTCATGGTCCCAGGGTCCTGGGATAGAGTCCCTCACTGGGCTCCCTGCTCAGCAGGGAGTCTGCTTCTTTCTACCTGGCCAGCCCCTGCTCGTGATCGCTCTCTCTCTCAAATAAATAAATAAAATTTAAAAAAAAAAAAAACCCACCACGTGTTGAGTTTTGGATAGTGAAGATGAGTATCCAGAATTACCTGAAAAGACTTCTTATATTTTTTTTTAAAGATTTTGTTTATTTATTTGACAGCAAGAGAGACAGCGAGAGAGGGAACACAAGCAGGGGGAGTGGGAGAGGGAGAAGCAGGCTTCCCACTGAGTAGGGAGCCCGATGCGGGGCTTGATCCCAGGACCCTGGGACCATGACCTGAGCCGAAGGCAGACGCTTAACCAACTGAGCCACTCAGGCACCCCCAAAAAGACTTTTAAAATACTGCTCCCTTTCCCCACTATTTCACTGAGTCTGGATTTTTTCTACATACTTCAATTTAAGTAACAGATTGGGTATAACAGCAGATGTGAGAATCCAGCTGTTTGTACATCTTTGTTGTCTGCCTCAAAGGCAAACAGTAGCACTCATTATTTCTTTTAAAATATAGTTATTTTCATAAAAATATGTTTATTGGCTTTAAATGAATTAATATATTAAATATTTCTCAGTTTTGCTTTCTAACACAACAAATGTTCGATGTAAACCACATACAAAGAAGCTCTTCATAGTCCTCAATATTTAAGAATGGGAAGGAGTCCTGGGACCAGAAGACTTGAGAACTGTTGCCTTAAGACCATTCCATTGAACTTGGTGGTAGCAAGGTGATAATCTTGACTTGGAAAAGCTATTTGCTGTAGATGGTTGGCAGTTTTTTTGTTGTTGTTTTTAATGTCCATGCCTTGTTAATGAGAGCGATCCTATGATGGGGACCGTAGTGCTGCTTGGTGGTGAAGAGCTGCTTCCCTCACTGACCTGGGCATATAGTGAGAGAGTGAGCATCAAATGTTAGTTATTAATAGTAGTGAAATAAGAAGAACCAACTTAATTAAGAATTGTCCACATTGTTAACCTAAAATGCTTTATATTCAGTTAAGAATGTGAGCCTCGGGGTGCCAGGGTGGCTCAGTCAGTTGAGTGTGAGACCCTTGATTTTGGCTCAGGTCATGATCTCAGGTCGTGGGATCCAGCCCCTCATCCGGCTCTGCTCGGAGTATGGAGCCTGCTTGGGATTCTCTCTCTCCCTCTTTCTCTCCCCCCTCACCACTCTCTTTAAAACAAAACCAAAACAAGCAATGGGAACTGTAACGATATCTCTCTGGACAGAACCTCACAGAAGCAGTTATGGGACACAATGAATGGAGTGAATGCTGATGGTCACGGCCCAGTTAACAGCCCGGAATTTCTGACAACGATGGCAAGAGAAATGAAAGGCACAGTGAGGAGGAAATTAGAGAGCATTCCGTGTGTTTGATAAAGATGGAAACAGCTGTATGATTGCAGGGCTTCACCATGTGATGACAAACCTGGGAGAGAAGTGAGCAGATGCTGAGGTTGATATGGACAGGGAAGCAGATATTTATGGTGATGGGCACGTGAACTATGAAAAGTTTGTACTCACGATGACAGCGATGTGCGGACATTGTACAGAATGTGTTCAATTTCTTGTACCAAATTATTTATCTGCCTCTTCCTTGTTTCCCCCCTGCTGTCCAAAAACACGCATATACGGTGATTAGGACCTCATTCTTCCCTGTTTTCTTCCCTTATCTTACTGTCATTGTCCTGAAACCTTCCTTGAGAAAATCGATCCAGTCACATTGTGCACGTGGCTCCCTCTGGATAAATCTAAGACCTGCACACCTCAGCGTAGATGGAGTTGGTCAAATGAGGGAAGATCTGGGTTGTGCCTTTTTTTTTTTTTTAAGCAGTTTTTGTTAGGAAGCGTCAGCGTGTTGTAGAAGCGAGGAGCCATAACCCTTACGTGGAGTATGGACAGTCAACAATATGTAGTTCAGAGTTGCACTATTGCAGAATGGGTGTATGATCCACATACTCACACATTATTTTTTTTTGTACTGCTGGTTCTTTACTAGAAACATTTTCTTTTATTGTTACTTGCTTTTTAAACTGTGTTTAGCTACTTAAAGAAAATTTGCTTATGGCACAATTGGCCTCAAATCCATTCCAAGTTATGCATGTTTTCCAATAAAAAATTATAATTTATTCTATCCCCCCTTTCCTCCCCAAAAGAGTCAGAGTTCTTACCCGGTCTTGGGTGACAATAATGACTGAAAGGATGATGTCCCCAAAGGTCTTCTGAGGGACACTAGGGCCTTTCCTATAATGTGGCCCAGAGTGGGGGCCCCTGGTCCAGTCCTGACCCCCACAGCAAGCCAGAGATGCTCCAGCAGAAGGCTCTCTTCTGCTTGTTTGGCAAAGTTAGCTGGGATGAAGGGTCCCAAGGGCTTTGAAGGGCTGTGTATTAGTGTCCTCTCCTCAAGGCACTGAGTTGAATGTGGGAGCAGGCTAAGTTCAGATCTTAAAGGATCTTCAACTGTAGTTTACAAACGTAAGATGGTTAGATCTGGTGAGCTCATTGGAAGGGGGTCGATCACCAGAGTCGGCTCTGAAGGTTCACCTGCCAGCTCTGTTGGAAATCTTTTTTTTTTTAAGATTTTATTTATTTATTTGACAGAGACACAGAGAGAGGGAACACAAGCAGGGGGAGTGGGAGAGAGAAGCAGGCTTCCCGCTGAGCAGGGAGCCTGATGCAGGGCTTGATCCCAGGACCCTGGGATCATGACCTGAGTCGAAGGCAGATGCTTAAAGACTGAGCCACCCAGGCACCCCACTCTGTTGGAAATCTGACTGTGGAAGCCACAGGGCTGTGTGCAGAGTGCAGGAGGCCTGACTTCAGAGCAGGGGAAGCAGCAGAGCTCGCTGTGTGGCTCTGATTTACTCTTGGGACACGCTTGCAGGGAGGGCGGGGGCGGGGAGGGTGCAGGCGGGGTGAAAGGCCTGCATGCGCCTCCAGTCACAAGCCTTGTGTGACTGGACCGTCTTGACCTCTTAAGGCCAGAACTGATTTCATGGTCAGTGAGCAATAAAACTGGTGAGGAAGAGGAGGAAGACTAAAATGTTTGTGATCTGGAGGGAAAGGAGAAAAGGGCTCTTCCAGATGATCCTTTCAAAAGGAGAGGGCAGTAAAACAAAGTAGTCACAGCTTACCGAATATCACTGAGGGCCTTTTTATCTTAACTATCTGCTTTTCTGGTCTGGTTCATTCTAAGGATAGCGACTGAGTGTTTGCACAAGATTTACAGGGCACTAGGTTATTTAATCTGGGATCTGTGTGTGCCTTCCGATGGTGCGTGGACAGACGGCTAACAGCTGTGAGGATTTGAAGGCTTCGCTGGGATGTACTGACTTGGTGTTTCCAGCTATATGCATGGTCCCCTCCACCGTGATCATTAGATGCAGTCCATGTCAGCATTGTGAGGTGTCAGTTCTAAATCTCTGCCCGGCTTTTGTCTGCCTGCCGGGTTTGATCCCCTTTTCACAGAGCCCAGCTCGCGGTAGGCTCTTGACGGGCTTCCTGTTGGCCCACTCAGCAGTCTCCTTAGTTCAGTTTGGGAGTCCAATCTACTTAGCCCGTGAGCTGACGATCTCAGCGAGCTTGTGTTTGGAGGGGTCGGGAGCATAAAAGGTTGCGTAATGAACTCTGCTCCTTTTTTATGGCAGGGCACTCTCGGGGAAATGCCGGTCACTAGGCTGCTGCGGCAGGTTGCGGGCCAGATGTTGGGGAGCCCAGCCTGTGGCTGCTGGACAGCTACCCCGCCGCTCCAGTTTCTGGGCACCTCCCCTCGGCAGATTCCAGCAGACGCCAGCTTCCACTCTGCCTCTTTCTCTGGAACAGACCAGCCACGCGTCCTAATTACAGGTTGGGTTTTTTGTTTTTTGTTTTTCTTTTTTCCACATTTGCAACTTGATTCTTCGTCGTTTTTTTTTTTTTTTTTTTTTTTTTTCTGTGCTGTTTCTGGATGATTTTGGAACGGCTACCATGTCATCAGAAATGACCTTTTCCACGATTGGCTTCCTCCAGAATATGGCAAGCCCGAAATCCTTATTGTGTCACTGTTGCCAGTGCTTTGTTTGCATGTTGTAATTTTTTATTGTCTGAAGGTTGGATATAGGAAAGGGGCGGGGGGGCGGTGCAGGAAGCTGCCGAGGAACTGCAATCACCTGGAGGTGAGGACTCACGGGGAGCGAGTGTGCAGGGACTAGGGCGGTGCATCAGGTGCATCTTTTCTTGGCCGAGCTCCTCAACCCAAACTGCACATCATCCATGCCCAGCAGCTGTTGCACGTTTGTGTGTGGGAGACAGAGGAGATACGTTAGGGCCTGCCCGAGGAACCTGTCCCCACCATCTTAGAATGTCGTTGATCTCAGTGTCCCCAGACTGGCCCCCTGTGCTCCTCACCTCCTGTCCACCCAGCCCCTGAGGCCGTACCCTCCTCGCTCCGAGCCTCTCCGGGCACTCCAAGTCCTTCCAGCCAACCCAAGCCCACCTTTGATGTGATGGACACACTTTATTTCCTTCTTCCCACCAGATTGTCTTCCCCTTGGCTTCTTATGTTCCTCGCAGTGTGTGTGTGTGTGTGTGTTTCTTTGACTGCCTCCTCATCTCTGACTGGAAATGGACTTGAGGTGGAGTCACTTCCCCTCTGCACCGTTCCTCCCTGGTTCACCCCACTTAACTGGTAGTGGTTTACTCCCTCCTGCCTCCACCAACAGAGTATCTTCTAGAACCCAGTGGTCGTGTCAGTGGGCCCGGTTCTAGTCCCACAGTAACAAGCACTTACAGGAAATCCCACTTTCTGGATCTCCCGCCTCATTTACTTTTCCCAGATGAAATTTGCAGTTGCATTCCCCCAGCTGTACTCACGGCCTCCAGCTTACCCACTTCAATCAGTGGCATTTTTTTAAAAAATTATTTATTTATTTGTTAGAGCGAGATCGAGCAAGCAGGGGGAGGGGCAGAGGGAGAGGGACAAGCAAACTCTCCACTGAGCTGGCAGCCCTGGCCTTGATCCCAGGACCCCAGAATCATGAACTGAGCCAAAGGCAGACGCTTAACCGACTGAGCCACCTGGACATCCCTCTTCTCAGCGGCATTTTGAAGCCTCTAAATTAGGAACCTCTAATCCTCATTTTTAATTTTCTTCATGGCTCCTTGTGGATTCAGTTGTCTGCCTTTTTCTCAGCTGACTTCCTGGTTTGTCCCTTCTTTCCCCTCTCACACCCCAGCCCAGTTCTAATGGGCAATGGGCTTCTGGATAATCCTACCAGAGGCTGATCTCAGACTGTTCTATTCGGCTTTGACTGTTTCGGCACCTGTTGCACTCAAGCTTCAGAGCCCATCAAATAATGAGGGCAGGTCTGAGAGGGAATTCCTGGCCCAAGGAGCTAGGAGGCTCTCCAACTTTCTTGTGATCTTCCTCCTCTTGCACCTTTGCTTCCTGTCAGCCACTGCATGCTAGAAAGAGTTTTGTCTCTGCAGCTAATATTACCTGCCTGATCTCTGTCCTAGCTTGGAAGACGTAACTTAGTTCTATCAGGTCAGACTGGGGCTTTCCCTCATTAGCTAAGATTGTCATATAGTCTTATTCTGCTACTATTTTCTGGGAATAATTGAATTGGTTAGATTTGGATTAAAGTTCCACTTTTTTCTTCTTCATCTAGGAGGTCTTGGCCAGCTTGGAGTGGGGCTTGCTAACCTTTTGAGGTAAGAGCCCCAAAAGCTGAAACTGAAAATCTGAGTTGTTCAGTATGTGTAGCTTATCTTTGGCAGCATGTAATCATTTTATTTTGCTCTTAATATCATAGACTTGTAGCAGTTCCATGGGTCATCATCTCCCACACTGGTCCTTTGCCCTATTTAAAAGAGCATTTTCATTGGACCAGTTATATCCTAGAGGTACCAACTCACGTGTTTTGATTTTCCCTTCAGGAAACGATTTGGGAAGGACAATGTGATTTTGTCTGACATAAGGAAACCCCCTGATCACATCTTCCAGAGTGGTAAGAGATCAAGATGCCTTGCTTTTGTTTTATCTTTGAGTTTCAAAATGCAGTTAGAGAGGCAGCTCATGGGATCAGAGTGTGTAACAGCTCATAACCAGGCTTATGATGAAAAGAAAGGCATTACTGAGGCCCAACTGTGTGATTTTTAAAAATGTCCTGTTTTGGGGTGCTAGGTTTCAGCTCAGGTCACGATCTCAGGGCTGTGAGATCGAGCCCCGGGTCCGGCTCTGTCCTGGGCGTGGAGCCCACTTGGGATTCTCTCTCTCAGTCTCCTTCTACACACCCCACCCCCCACTCACTCTCTCTTAAAAAAAACAAAAAACAAAAAACCTCCTATTTTGGTCCCTCAAAGTTCTGTGAAATGTCTACAGTAATGCTGTTGCTAGTTTAAGAGTTACAAGAACAGGAGAACTCTCTGAACTTGAAGTAAAGTTTGGGAATGATACCTTCGGATGTTATTTGGGATAGGATTTTTGGAATAAAAACTTTGATTCCTGCCCTCTGAGTTTTTAGTTAACTTCTTCGCTCAGAGGGAAAAGAAAAATCAAGTCCTGTAATGAGGACAAGGAACTTTAAAAATTTGAAGAAATTAATCCTCCTATTTCAACATAGACTTGCTCTTTAAAAAAAAAAAAGAGGAAGATTTATTTATTTTAGTGAGAGGGAGAGAGAGAGAATCCCAACAGAGTTAGACTGCGTGCTAAGCGCAGAGCCCGACACGGGGCTCAATCTCATGACCCTGAGATCATGATCTGAGGTGCAATCAAGAGTCGGGTGCTTAACCAATGGAGCCACCCTGGCACCCCAACACTCTTAAACTGCTGTACACACACACAAACACTTCAAACTCCCCAAGTTTTCTCCTACCTTAGAAACATGTTTATAACATCTCCTGGTCCATCCTGGTTCCACGTCAGCCTTTGGCTTACCGGTACTTTGCTGTAGTGGGGGAAGATGCCCCTGCACCAAACTGACTCTCCCCAGGTCATGCTTGTGGTTCTTCTATACCAAGCTGTATGTTCTTTTAAAAATCCACCTCTAGGGGGCGCCTGGGTGGCTCAGTTGGTTAAGCGACTGCCTTCGGCTCAGGTCATGATCGTGGAGTCCCTGGATCGAGTCCTGCATTGGGCTCCCTGCTCGGCAGGGAGTCTGCTTCTCCCTCTGACCCTCCTCCCTCTCATGTGCTCTCTCTCTATCTCATTCTCTCTGTCTCAAATAAATAAAATCTTTTAAAAAATAAATAAATAAATAAAAATCCACCTCTAGGGACGCCTGGGTAGCTTAGTCTGTTGAGCGTCTGCCTTTGGGTCAGGTCATGATCCCAGGGTCCTGGGATCAAGTCCCGCATCGGGCTCCCTGCTCAGCGGGAGCCTGCTTCTCCCTCTCCCTCTCCCTGCTGCTCCCCCTGCTTTGCTCACTTGCGCTCTCTCTTATCTCTCTCTGTCTGACAAATAAATAAATAAAATCTTAAAAAAAAAATCCACCTCTATATCCTTTTTAAAATACTTAACTTTTCAGCAGAGTGAAATCACCGTGTGCATGTAGGGGTGGTATTAAGAGCGCCAACTCTGGAGCCAGCTGCCTGTTTGTGACCACCGTTCTCCCACTTACTCTCTGATCCTGGCTAGTTCTTACTTCTCTGTGCCTCAGATTCCTTCCTGGTAAAATAGATCTCCCTCAAAGTCTGTATGAGAGCTAAATATACAGAAAGCCCTTAGGACAGCGCCTGGCAAGTGTAAGTCCTTTATAAGCACTAGCTATTATTACCTAGGGGGTGGTTGGGGTTTGTTCATAAGCAAAATGCTGCATAGGGTCCAAATGGTTTAGTCACCAAGTTGATCCTAATGGAATTCACGAGTCAACAGAGGTGGGGGAGAAGGTCCACTTAGCTTTTTAAACCCCAAACTTGCAAAAAAAAAAATTAAAAAAAAACACAAACTTGCGCTTCTATGGTTTTGCTGTGTTCCTCATAGGCCCGTTTATTTATTCCGACATTCTGGATTACAAAAATCTTCGGGAGATCGTGGTAAACAACCGCATCACCTGGTTGTTTCATTATAGTGCTTTGCTCAGTGCGGTTGGGGAAGCAAACGTATCCTTGGCCAGAGCCGTAAATATCACCGGTAAGTTTCTGGGTCTTGCCCAAAATGGCTGATTTGCCAGTTTTTCCAGTTCTTCGGTAGGAGATTTTTCAGACTGCGGTCATGTCCGTTCATTTCAGGATTGCATAACGTCCTGGATGTCACAGCAGAGCACAACTTGCGATTGTTTGTGCCTAGCACAATCGGAGCTTTTGGACCTACTTCTCCCCGGAATCCAACTCCCGATCTCTGTGTTCAGAGGCCCAGGACGATCTACGGGGTGTCCAAGGTCCACGCCGAGCTTATGGGAGAAGTAAGCCTTGCTTGGCAAGATGACTCAGCGTTGCCTTTTCTATTCTTTCTGCCTCGTACACTTGCTGATTCATCCTTGGAGGGGACATTTCCCTCCACCCCCACCCCCAGCACAGCCCCCAGAAGTGCTCCCTGGCTGATTGTGTTTGCTAAGTGGCAGGTATGGATAGCTCCAGAAGAACTCCTTAGCCCTTGGCCTTGTGATAACACGCAACCCTTCCCAGAGGCCCCTCGATGGCATCCTCTTCTTCATTTGCTGCCTGTCTTACGGGTTCTGCTCCATTCTGTCAGGCTTCCGCTATTGGCAGTAATGGGAGGTGATTTTCAAACTTTGTGTTTATGGAGAACATCAAATGACTTTGGTTCTATTTTTTTAAATACTCTTTGTCTTTAAAACTCTATGCTAAGGGGAGCCTGGGTGGCTCAGTCAGTTAAGCGTCTGCTTTCAGCTCGGGTCATGATCCCAGAGTCCCAGGATCCAGTCCCACATCGGGCTCTCTGCTCAGCAGGGAGTCGGCTTCTCCCTCTGCCCCTCCCCCTGCTCATGCTCTCTCTCCCTCTCATTTTCTCTCTCTCTCGCAAATAAATAAAATAAAAAATCTTTTTAAAAAAATGAAAAAAACAACTCTACAGCACATGTGAGTTGGTGTCAGCTCCTTTAGCTGACCTATCAGGCATTGCCCTCCTCCTGTGCTGTCCTCCCCGGGCTCTGTGCAATGCCCCACTGCAGGAACACGCTCCTGGAGGACTGCACGGGGTCTTCCAAAGAAAGGTTGGAAACCAGCACAGGCTGATTTATTATTGACCGTGTTGGTATGTCACCAGAGTGATTTTTTGAAGATAAAAACTTAAGGGCTATTTATTAAAGAAAAGTGAGTGGCTCTTAGAAATTCTACAGTCTCGTTTCCTTTAGGAATATTTTAATAGAACTGCATGGAAAGATACTCCGCTCCGCCCTCCCCCCACCTCACCCCCCAAAAAGGAGCTGTTCTTTGCATTGCTCTGTCTGGTTTAAAGGATGTGTTTTAAAGTCATTTTTCCTCTTTCTCGTAGTATTATCATCACCGGTACGGGTTAGATTTCCGGTGCTTGAGATATCCTGGAATCATTTCGGCGGACTCCCAGCCTGGAGGAGGAACAACTGGTAAGTGCCGTTCTCTCTCTGCCCTATGGAAGACGGGCTTGCTCAGTGCCCTGAAAAGTGGCGAGGGACTGGCAGTCTTTTCAGCTGTGTACTGACCCGAGTTTCGGCACCCCCTCTGGCAAGTGCATCTGAGAAGCTCATGGAATCCCACTGACTTGAACTCATGCCGGTGTTGCAAATCCAGGTCGGGACTGGCCATCCCCAGTGCTGGAATCAGACAGAGAATATTCAAGAACAGATTTGTCATCCGCAATGTAGGAAGACACCAAATAAGAAATAGCCTCTTTCTTTGAATCCAGCCTTTGTTTCTTAATGCAGAGAGCTCTGTGAAAATGGACTGTATGTATACATTGCATATTTTTAAGGGAGCATGAGTGGTGGTGGTGGTGGTATTATTATTATTATTATTATTATTATTATTATTATTATTAATTTGGACTCAAACATGCATTATATTCAATAACTCCCATACTAGAAATCCTTCCCATATGAGGGGTCCTGAGATACAATATAAAAGCTAAGCCTTGACAAAATCTGAGGGATTTTAAATTTTTTTAATTTTATTTATTTACTTATTTATTAGAGAGAGAGAGAACACAGCAGGGGGAGCGGCAGGCAGAGGGAGAAGCAGGCTCCGCTGAGCAAGGAGCCCGATGCAGGGCTCGATCCCAGGACCCTGAGATCATGACCTGAGCCAAAGGCAGACACGCTTAACTGACTGAGCCACCCAAGCACCCCCAAATCTGAGGGATTTTAAAGGAGATTTTTATTGGGTTGCTTTTTTTAAAAAAGATTTTATTTATTTATTTGAGAGAGAGAGAATAAGAGAGAGCACATGAGAGGGGGGAGGGTCAGAGGGAGAATCAGACCCCCTGCCGAGCAGGGAGCCCGATGCGGGACTCGATCCCAGGACTCCGGGATCATGATCTGAGCCGAAGGCAGTCGCTTAACCAACTGAGCCACCCAGGCGCCCCTATTGGGTTACTTTTTAAAAAGCTTTTTGCCTTAATACAATGCCTCTCCAAGTCGGCACTGGGAATCCCTCGGGATCCTTGGTTTTTTTCAAGGGGTCCAAGAGGTCAAAACTCTTTCCATGTCAGGATTAAGGTATTATTTGCCTTCTTTTCACTCTCCTTACGAATGCACTGTGGAGTTTTCCAGAGGCCGTGTGATGTGCAACAGTGCAGTGGGCTGAACACGCCAGCACACGGGAGACGCCAGCTGTCTGCTACCAAGCCAGGCAGCCGAGAGATGGTCAAAACGTAAAACACGCCGTTCTTCTCACTGAATGTTCCTTTGTTTGGAAAATACGGTCTTCATATACAATATCATACACATGACTGTGTGATGGGTTTATTATGATCATTTTAAGATGTAGTAGTACTTTTTTAAATGCTCTGTTAATTTCTGGTATGGTAGATATTGATGTAACCCTCACTCTTAAGACCTCCTTGAGGGTCCTCGGTGGTGTTGAGGAGCATAAAGAGGTTTGGAGCCTAAGGCGTCTGAGAACCACCACCCTAAAACAAGAGGCTCATTCATCGTTTTGTTATAAGACGACCCACAGGCAGGATTCTCTTTCAGACTATGCGGTCCAGATCTTCCACGACGCCCTGAAGAATGGCAAATTTGAGTGCAACCTGAAACCCAGCACAAGGCTCCCAATGATGTATATTGATGACTGCCTCAGGGCCACTCTGCAAGTCATGGAGGCCCCAGCAGAGTCCCTCTCCATGAGGACCTACAACATCAATGCCATGAGCTTCACCCCTGAGGACCTGGCCCGGGAGGTTCTCAAGCACGTACCAGAATTCCAGATCACGTACAACGTGGATTCTGTTCGACAGGCCATAGGTGGGTATATCATTGCAAACCCCCCTCAAAACCCAAGTGAAGCTCCAGTCTGTACTGTGAGTTCCATGAGGACAAAAAGCATGGTGGATAAGGAGGGTCCGGACACATTCTGGAGAAAGAGTTGTTGAGCCAACAGATGCTGCAGTTTGGGGCACTGATATCTAAAGGGGGTAGGGGGACACCTGGGTGGCTCAGTCGTTAGACGTCTGCCTTGGGCTCAGGTCATGATCCCAGGGTCCTGGGATCGAGCCCCACATCAGGCTCCCTGCTCCACAAAGGCCTGCTTCTCCCTCTCCCACTCCCCCTGCTTGTGTTCCCTCTTCCGCTGTGTCTCTGTCAAGTAAGTAAATAAAATCTTAAAAAAAAAAAAAAAAGGTAAACAAATGCTTTAAAAAAAATAAAGGGGGTGGAATCGTTCTATTCCAAATAAATAGCTTGTCAGCATTTCGCCATTTTATCGCTGAAACATAAAACCAGCCAACAGCATAAGAAAACGTCCCTGGGTTTTCTGATGCCACTGTGGCCTTGAGCACTGTCGGAGTAGAAGAGTCCTGCCCTACAACTCCGTGGGATATTTTAATAGTGCATCACAATTCCCAGGGCCTGACCATGGATGTGTAATAGAATTTTCTCATCTAGGAGGGTGGCGACGTGTGCACATGATGGCCACTCCGGTCTGCTCAGAGGAGGAATTTCAGAGAGTGAATTTCTTTTGTGCTATCTTGGATGATAGACCTTTATATAAAATGTGCTGGACCTTTTTGCAAATCTAGAGCCTGAGTAACTTAAGCTTCTATTCCGTGTCTTTTCCTAGCGGATAGTTGGCCGATGAACTTTGATGACAGCAATGCTCGGAAGGACTGGGGCTGGAAACACGACTTTGATCTTCCAGAGTTGGTGACGACGATGTTGAACTTCCACGGTTCTGATACTAGGGTTGCCCAGGCTAACTGAGGGAATCAGAAGGGAGAGCTCATGTGTCCCGGACCGCTGTCAAGGGAAAACCTTAACGACCCTGAGGAACCTAAATTATCTGGAATGGAAGGATGAATTGGATGAGATGTTGGGAGCTCATATTGAACTGCCAGGTTGGAGAATCATGTTGGCTTTTGCATTTTCAAGATGCTGTAGGTTTGGTGGTAGGACTTCTAAACCTTTGCTGTTTGCCTAAACTTGCCCAAACACACATATCACAGAATGAAGACTTCAGTCAGAATAGTTGCCATTTCCTTAATTCAGATGAATTGACTATTTGGGGGAAGATGGACGTATGTGATGTTTGTCATGAATTAAACTTAATTTAAATATCACTCCTAAGACTCCATTATTCTCTTGACTAGAGACCAAAGATTACATTTTAGGGGCGCCTGGGTGGCTCAGTCGTTAAGTGTCTGCCTTTGGCTCAGGTCATGATCCCAGGGTCCTGGGATCGAGCCCCGCATCAGGCTCCCTGCTCAGCGGGAAGCCTGCTTCTCCCTCTCCCACTCCCCTGCTTGTGTTCCCTCTCTCACTGTCTCTCTCTGTCAAATAAACAAATAAAATCTTAAAAACAAAACAAAAGATTACATTTTATTTATTTATTTATTTATTTATTTATTTGAGAGAGAGAGAGAGAGAGCATGAGAAGGGGGAGGGTCAGAGGGAGAAGTAGACCCCCCACTGAGCAGGGAGCCCGATGCGGGACTCGATCCCGGGACTCCAGGATCATGACCTGAGCCGAAGGCAGTCACTTAACCAACTGAGCCACCCAGGTGCCCAAAAGATTACATTTTAAAGACTATCAAAGATTATCTCCTAATTTAAACACTATCCCATCAGGAAATAAATGTTTGCTATATAATCCCATGTTCATAATGTTCAAGAAATCTTAACAGTCCCTCAAAAATTATCACTTCTAATTTACTTTTCAGTAAAAAGATGTATCTGTAGGAAATGAAGAATATCAAAGATGATATAACTAGTAATGGGGAGCACCTCTTATGTTGATTAACTTCCTGAGTATTGATTATCAGGACTGTAATTCTCTTCCCTGGCCATGTCGGTCTCCCAGAGGAATTTACGTAAATGTACAGGCATCTGGGCTCCTCCCTTTCAGGTTGACTCAACAAATGGGGATGAGAATCTCCAAGTGCCACCCGGTTATTCTGTTCCTGCTACGGCCCACAGGACCAGGTCCACACAGTTTTCTAAAGAGAACTTTTCTTGTGACAGCCTTTTTTTTTTTAAAGATTTTATTTATTTGACAGAGAGAGACACAGCGAGAGAGGGAACACAAGCAGGGGGAGTGGGAGAGGGAGAAGCAGGCTTCCCACGGAGCAGGGCGATGCGGGACTCGATCCCAGGACCCTGGGATCATGACCTGAGCCGGAGGCAGACGCTTAACAACTGAGCCACCCAGGCACCCTTAAAGATTTTATTTATTTATTTATTTGACAGAGAGAGACACAGCAAGAGAGGGAACACAAGCAGGGGGAGTGGGAGAGGGAGAAGCAGGCTTCCCACGGAGCAGGGAGCCCGATGCGGGGCTCGATCCCAGGACCCTGGGATCATTACCTGAGCCAAAGGCAGAACGCTTAACGACTGAGCCACCCAGGCGTCCCCAGCCTTTTTTAATATACTCTTAGATTGAGCTTTCAGGAGAGCTGCTCTAAAGCCTTCTGAGGCAATTCCTATATAAATGTATACGGATTGACTTTCTTCCAGCCACCTCCGGATACCTGTGAAATCACCAGAGAGTAGAACTGCTCACGGGCATATTGGATAAAGTTGTCATGGACTAAAAGGCATTTCTATTATATGCTTAATGACAGGGTTCTGTATTTGGAATTTTTAACTGCAGGGTAGAAACGTGAACTGTTTTGGAGGCATAACTGGATTTAAAATTATTTAACTTTTGGGGCACCTGGGTGGCTCAGTCAGTTAAGAGTCCAAGTGTTAATTTCAGGATTGTCGTAAGTTCAAACTGCACATTGGGCTCTGCTGGGCGTGGTGCCTAAGTTAAAAAAAATAATATTTAACTTTTAACTGGAGAACTTCTAAATTATTGAATGATTTAATAGTTTATTGGGTTTTTTTCCTACTTAATGAAGCTTACATTTGTGTATATTATTTTCTAAAACCAAACAGTAATGAGATTTTTGGGTTTTTTTTTTTAACAACTTTACTAAGATTTATTTCACATACTGAGATTTATTTCACATACTGTTCACTCAGTTTTGTTTGTTTTAGTTTTTTTTTTTTCCAGTTTTAATGAGAAATCATTGAGGTACATCACTGCAAAAGTTCAAGGTGTATTGCATGATGGTTTGGTTGTGAAATGATTGGCACGGTAGGTTTAGCTAATATCCCTTATTTCCTAGAGATACAATAAAAAGAAAAGAAAGAAAAAAAGAATAAAGGAAAAAAAATGTTCTCTTTGTGATGAGAGCTCTTAAGATTTACTCTCCTAACAGCTGTCCTGTAGATCATCCAGCAGTGGTAACTAGTCATCATGCTGGACATCACATCCCTAGTACTTACGTATCTTATCACTGGAAGTTTGTACCTTTTGACCACTTTCCTCCAGTTCCTCCTTTCCCCATCCTCCACCTCTGGTAACCACAATTCTGACTGATTTCTTTGCTATGAGGTTGGGCTTTCTATTTTTTTTTTCCCCCACATGTAAGTGAAATCATACAGTATTTGTGTCTCTCGGTCTGACTTATTTCACTTAGTGTAATGCCTTCAAGGTCCATCCATGTTGTTGCAAATGGTAGGATTCCTCATCTTTTCATGGCTTAGTAATATTCCATTGTGAATATATACCATAACTTTATTCATTTGTCCATTAGTGGACACTCAGATTGTTTCCATGTCTTGCCTCTTATAAATAATGCTGCTATGAACACGGGGGTGCAAATGTCTTTTCAAGTTAGTGTTTTGGTTTTCTTGAATACATTCCCAGAAGTGGAATTGCCGGACTGTAGGGTAGTTGTATTTTTAATTTTGTGAGGATCCTCCATACTGTTTTCCACAGTGGCTGTACGAGTTTACTATCTCGCCAACAGTGCACGAGGGCTCCGTGCCCTCCACACCCTTGCCAGCATTTATTCTCTCTTGTCTTTTTTATAATAAAAAAGATGCAGGGCGCCTGGGTGGCTCAGTTGGTTAAGCGACTGCCTTCAGCTCAGGTCATGATCCTGGAGTCCCGATATCAAGTCCCACATCAGGCTCCCTGCTCAGCAGGGAGTCTGCTTCTCCCTCTGACCCTCACCCCTCTCATTGTCTCTCTGTCATTCTCTCTCTCTCTCAAAAATAAATAAAATTTTAAAAAAATTAAAAAAAAAAAGATGCATCTATTTATTTTAGAGCGAGAGACAGTGCACAAGCTGGTGGGGGGGCTGTGCAGAGGGGAAGCGGACTTCCTGCTGAGCATGGAGCCCGATGTGGGGCTCCATCTCACAGCCCTGAGATCATGACCTGAGCTGAAACCAAGAGTCAGTTGCTTAAGCGACTGAGCCACCCAGGCGCCCCCTCTCTTGTCTTTTTGATGATGGCCATTCTAACAGGTGTGACGTAATACTTCATTGTGGTTTTAATTTGCATTTCCCTAATGATTAGTGATTGAACATCTTCTCTAGTATGTGTTGGCCATCTATAGGTCGTCTTTGGAGAGATGTTTGCTTAGGTCTTCTGCCCATTTTTGATTTGGGTTATTTAGTTTTTTGCTATTGAGTTGTATGAGTTCCTTATATATTTTAGACATTAACCCCTCATCAGATGTGTGGTTTGCAAATATTTTTTCCCAGCCAGTAGGTTGTCTTTTCACTTTGTTGGTGGTTTCTTCTGCTGTGCAGAAGCTTTTAGTTTGATGTTTTTTATCTTGTTGCTTGAGCTTGAGGTATCATATCAAAAAAAAAAAATCGTTATCAAGATACAAGTCAAGGCTCTTCAGTTGGGAGGGGCCATGAGCAATCCTCAGACTTGGCCCTGAACTAATCCCCCTGCCTGTGTGTAGCGTAGGAACTCTCCCTGACCGGCACTGACTTTGCCCTGAGGGCAATGAGCTCTGCCCACCTGCCTCTCACTTCAAGCCCTGCTGTGGCCACACAGCTTCCAGAAGTTGTGGCCAGCCCTTCTGGTCAGATGGGACTGCAAGACACTCTCCATAGTGGGTGGGGCTGTGATTCAACTCTTTGCCCGGGTCTGGGCAAGCTAGGCTCTAAGGCTGGCAAAATTTCTTGTTTGAGGCTCTAGATCAGGCAGATCTACACCCTGGCAAGGTCCTTAGAGAGCATCCCCAACTTGGGTCTGCAGGTGAGTAGTGCCGCTGCTTGAGATTACTACTTGGGTACTACAGGTACGCACTCGGTCTGCCAAGATCTGTGTGGTGTGCCCGGGTGTTTCCCCTCCAGTGTTCTGTCACAAACAGATTCCCAGTGGCTGAGCCCTGCAGATTCCCCTGCAATCCCTGTGGGGCAGGATCAGAGCAGAGGTTCCTGCAACGTGACCCACAGTGGTCGTCACCCTTGGGTTCTCTTCCTGCTGCAAGAATTGGAGGCTCAGGAGAGGCCTCTCCGCATGGTGCTGCACTGGCCTGGGGGAGCGACGGTGCATGCAACGTGTCGCTGTTCCTCTTACTTCTAACTGCAGCGTGTCTTGGTCTCTGTGGCGTAGGGTAGAGGGGAGGTATGCTTCAGCCTCACCCCTGTGTTCTAGGGTTCTCTCCATGACGTCTTGTTCTAGAATCGTTGTTAGTCATTCTTTTTTTTTTTTTTTTTTTCGTTGTTAGTCATTCTAATGAGAGAGAGCAAAGTCAGGAAGAACCTATGTTGGCATCTTGGTGATGTCATCCATTTAAGTTTCTAGTTCAGTGATTTTTTTTTTTTTCCAGTATGTTCGCAGAGTTGTGCACCGTCACTGTAATTGTAGGCCGTTTCAACATCCCGCAAAGAGATGGTCTATTAGCCCTCTCCACCTTGGGCAAAAACTAATTTACTCTCTTAATATAGCATAAAATTTTTAAAGTTCATGTCATAGCATGTATCACTACATTCCTTTCATCGCTAATATACCACATTTTGTTTCTATCAGTTGGGAGACATTTAGCTTGTTTGCAATTTTAATTATGAATCATGCTGGTTTTGGAGCTCATTTATTGTTCACAGTTTGAAAAATAATTATTAAGCTCTCTTCATTTATTCCCCATTATCTTAAAGGAACAGAAATTAATTCTTTCCATGAGAAAGGAAAAAACAGCTGACCTGACTAGCCCTCTGGCCCTTAGACCTTAGTCTGCCAGTGTTTCGACCTGATTCCTTGGATGACCTCA